TTAGGAAAGAAGACGGCGGTATGTCATTATGAATACTACAAATAACACATCTGGACCATACACCTAAATACTGCAGGTAGGAAAGAAGACGGCAGTATGTCATTATGAATACTACAAATAACACATCTGGCCCATGCACCTAAATACTGGAGGTAGGAAAGAAGACGGCAGTATGTCATTATGAATACTACAAATAACACATCTGGACCATGCACCTAAATACTGGAGGTAGAAAAGAAGACGGCAGTATGTCATTATGAATACCACAAATAACACATCTGGACCATGCACCTAAATACTGCAGGTAGGAAAGAAGACGGCAGTATGTTATTATGAATGCTACAAATAACACATCTGGACCATACACCTAAATACTGGAGGTAGGAAAGAAGACGGCAGTATGTCATTATGAATACCACAAATAACACATCTGGACCATGCACCTAAATACTGCAGGTAGGAAAGAAGACGGCAGTATGTTATTATGAATGCTACAAATAACAACATACAGAGAATTACGTTAGTTTGAATTAACACTACGTTAGCATAATAAATTGAATCGTACTTTTATGAATGCTATACATAGCACAATATATAGTCTTATACTATTATGAATACTATACATAGCACAACAGATAGTATTATACTATTATGAATGCTATACATAGCACAACAGATAGTATTATACTATTATGAATACTATACATAGCACAATATATAGTATTATACTATTATGAATGCTACAATAGCACAATATATAGTATTATACTATTATGAATGCTACAATAGCACAGTAAGTAGCATTAAGAAATTATTTTATCACACTGGGATTTATTAAGGTTTGTTTTCTGCAACTGCCTCATGGTGGCTCAACGGTAAGCTTGAGGTTTTATCTTGTTATAAATCAGGCTTCGAAACCTGCAGTGGACACAACGTAGATATTTCCAAACCAAGGCGACAGGTGTCGAAACCACATTTTCACCAATATGTAAACAACTAAGAAACATATCTTAAACAAAATTTCCTGTACAATCAAATTATAAAGATTTTAAAAACCCATTTGCTCTATTCTACATTCTTTAGCTTTAAATCTTTAAGCCTTTCACAATTACATATTTTCCAGTAGCTTAAACTTTTGTCACGTGACTTTAGTGTAAAATTTGGTGGAGAAGCATCATTATTCTAACGAGAAACAGGTTGATAATATTTAATTGTTTAAATTTTCTTTACTTTCTTAGTGAACACAGATATTTATATAAATGGACTTCGATTATTCTATTATGTCAAATTAAAGTGCAAATATTGCCCTGAAGTAAAGAGTGTTTAATTATTAATCTTACATCTTAAACTAATGTTATTCTTGTGATAACGTAAAGTCTTATTTTTACCTGTCATTCATACTCGTACTGGTTAATTAGCATTTATCTTCACTGGAAATCTTCTTATTTTATCTTATCTACTTACCTCGACTGTAAAATGTAACTATATTTATTTTATCTACTTACCTCGACTGTAAAATGTAACTATATTTATCTTACCTACTTACCTTGACTGTAAAATGTAGCTATATTTATCTTACTTACTTACCTCGACTGTCAAATGTAACTATATTTATCTTACCTACTTACCTCGACTGCAAAATGTAACTATATTTATCTTACCTATTTACTTCGACTGTAAAATGTAACTATATTTATCTTACCCACTTACCTCGACTGTCAAATGTAACTATATTTATCTTACCCATTTACCTCGACTGTAAAATGTAATTATATTTATCTTACCCATTAGCCGCGACTGTCAAATGTAACTATATTTATCTTACCTACTTACCTCGACTATAAAATGTAACTACATTTATCTTACCTACTTACCTCGACTGTCAAATGTAACTATATTTATCTTACCTACTTACCTCGACTGTAAAATGTAACTATATTTATCTTACCCATTAGCCGCGACTGTACAAATGTAACTATATTTATCTTACCTACTTATCTCGACTATAAAATGTAACTATATTTATCTTACCTACTTACCTCGACTGTAAAATGTAACTATATTTATCTTACCTACTTACCTCGACTGTAAAATGTAACTATATTTATCTTACCCATTTACCTCGACTGTAACTATATTTATCTTACCCGTTTACCTCGACTTTAAAATGTAACTATATGTATCTTAACCACCTACTTAAACTGTAAAATGTAACTGTATGCATCTTACCCATAGCCTGGACTGATGTGGACATAGTCATATTCATTCGTTCTTGAAACAAATCGAATACACGTATGTCTTTCATATTCTTGAAAGGCTGCAGCGATAACTCTTCTGTCCCTGGTGGCTGGAAGACACATTAAATTTGCCCCATTTTTCCTGATACTTGACGTATTAAACAAATACGATTTTTTATACACTTTTTGACATTCGATATGTTAATTCTGACCGTCAGTAATTGAGAAATTAATAGACTGAAGTTAAATAAATATAGTGCATTTAAACGATAAAAAACAAGCATAATTTAGGAAAACATTTCTATAAAGTGGCTGATTTTATAAGGAGATTAAAACAATAAATCATCGTTCAGCCAATCATATTTCTTCGTTGGAGTATCCTCCCAGCGAAGTTTAACGTATGTCTTTTGTATTCTGTTCATTTCACTAATTCTTACTTACAGAAGTAAGGAGAAATGGTGTAGGGGACAACACCATCTGGCCACATGGAACGACGATCCCTAATGGCATTCCTGCCCTAGGAAATAAACATATACATTATTTACATCTTCTAGTATTTATAAGCAACTGTTTTGTTTTTCAGAAGGAGGGCTCATTAAATTATCACACTTAGAAACAGGTTAATTATTTCAAGCACGTAGGATTCATTTCTATAATTATATGAAACAACTTTTATCTAAAGGAGAACTTATTATCGTATTATATTCCATCATCTTTACCCTAAATATCTGATTTCTTAATGACTTAGATAAAAGTAATAATATTAATAATTATAACGGTTTGTTGTTCATTGAAATGGATTTCATATTTACTAATATGTATGTTTTATTCCAGCTAGCCTGCTTGTCCCTGATATTAGATGAAAGGCCTCGTCGCCACTGGATATGAAAGATATAGAGTGTTTAGCATATTGTAGCGTAAAATGGGTTATTAGAATTACTAATATATTGTAATTATATGACACCTACTCTGGGAACAAGTAGACTAGCTTGATGGCTCTTCAGTTCTTTTGAATGGTAGTCAAATAATTGATATTTTGTAACATATAAGCTTAATGAAAACTGCTTACAACGTTTCGAGACGGTGTTAAAATCTTGTAAAATTCCTTTTTGAAATGCAGAGGGCTGAGTAAGTTATATGGTAAATAATATATCTTACAATATTAAACTAGTTAATAATGAATATTTATAAATACTGTTGTAATATTTTAAGAAGTTTATATAATAATATCAACTTCTGATCAGAGTAAACTATGCGCTTGAGCGAAACTAAAAATCAACTTGGCCATTACTCTAGCTAATTAAACATACTTTTCTTACATTTATACTTATAAAGAATATAATTCATTGTTTCATCAGCTGGATACCCTCATTTTCAAACATATTTTCGGTCGTAATCCCAGTAATATCTCACGAGATTCGACCATCTTAAGATTTTTAGTTTAGTCCTAAATACCAATTCTAACAATAGGAAGCAATTTTTACGATATATGTAAAATAATGAACTACAAATGAAAAAATAATAATAATTACATTCGGTATACTAGCCAATATAACAATATTATTAATGAAAACAATAATAAATAAACAATGTATATAATATACATTACTTAGAGAACCTATAAACATTGGTTCTTGTCCTGAATCATGGTCGTTGTTTGGAATCTTTCTCTTTTTAACAACACACTTTACCAAAGACACCCCAGCTTTATACCAAGCCTAACTGTGACATTTAAATCCATACATTTTAGTTAAAGTTAGTAGCATTAAATATCCCTTGGCATAAAGAAATATCAATATTTATAAAAATACGACAAATAGAAAATAAAATTATACCTGACGTAACCCTTATAATATAATATAGCTAAATTTGATACTTCATTACTCTGAACGTTCAACTACACACCGAGTTAAGTTATTTTAGTGACTTTTAGATGTTATTTGTAGTTTGTTTAAACTTTTTTAAAAACAACTATATTAACATTTCAAAAAAGATGTTCAGAACAGAATTTTTAAAAAAAAAGTAGAACAGTGAATTCCTTAGAGACCAGCTTACAGGGATTTATTTGATATATAAATTTTCATATTGTACTTTAGGTGTGAGTGTATCAGGTATCTTACAATTAAATCTTCGACGATATCTCCTTCAAAATAGCCACTCTTCGCCATTGGATCATCTCCCTCTGGTGGCGTATAGTCAGAAGCTATGAACAGTAAAAACTATAAATATTACTTATATAAATGCAAGGAAACGTTATTTTTATACAGCTTTACTTTTATTTTAAGATAAAATCGTTGAAGCTTATTTATATTAGCATATTTGATATTATCGTCCATCATTTTTCTGACGTCATTAATTGCATTAAAAAAGAAACATAAAACTTTAGGTTTACAGTTTGCTAAGTCGTGTTTGTCAAAAATTTCAAACAGTCTTAGTACGTACATATTAAATGTTCAATCCCTGCAAAATCTTCATCTCCAAGTGGTGTTCCTTTAAAGGATAAAACAGATAAATAGGTTTAGCAGTAAATTAATAATTGTTTTATAATATACATTATACTTCTGATTTTAAATCGTAAGTTTGGAATGTTAAAAGTTAACTAATTATGTCGTGATAGAAATCTTTATATATAACGGTACTACCGTCCATTCTAACTAACCATAATAATATCAATATTGTAAATATAACGGTACTATTATTATGATATTAATATGGTTACTTATACCACTATTGATGTTATTATGGTTAGTTATAATGGACGATAGTACCGTTATATATATCATTGTTGACATTATTATGGTTAGTTAGAATAAAAATAGGCACTATTATCATTATAACATAAAAAATAGGCACTATTATCGTTATAACATAAAAATAGGCACTATTATCGTTAGAACATAAAAATAGGCACTATTATTATTATAACATAAAAAATAGGCACTATTATCGTTATAACATAAAAATAGGCACTATTATCATTATAACATAAAAATAGGTCCTATTATTATAACATAAAACATAGGCACTATTATCGTTATATCATAAAAATAGGCACTATTATCATTATAGCATAAAAATAGGCCCTATTATTATAACATAAAAATAGGCCCTATTATTATTATAACATAAAACATAGGCACTATTATCATTATAGCATAAAAAATAAACACTATTATAGTTATAACATAAAAAATAGGCACTATTATCGTTATAACATAAAAATAGGCACTATTATCGTTATAACATAAACAATAGGCCCTATTATTATAACATAAAACATAGGCATTATTATTATTTTATCGTAAAGTGGAAAACAAGAGAAAGTAACATAATGTGGAAGAGAAGGCACGAATAACTGTTGTGTAATATAAATATACATCAAGTTTTATAACATAAAACATAGGCATTATTATTATTTTATCGTAAAGTGGAAAACAAGAGAAAGTAACATAATGTGGAAGAGAAGGCACGAATAACTGTTGTGTAATATAAATATACATCACGTGTATTTAGTTGTTTTAATAAAAGTTATTATAAAACTCCTTATTAAGTAATAAGCTTGCACAACTGTAACTCTGACCTACCAGGAATCAAATCCTTTGTGGAATTCGTTTTCATCTGAAACATAGAATAAGATATTTTGTTAATAGCAAATCAAGAACTTGTAAATCAGTAAATCTAAGCTAAATATCAGAGTAAAAAAAAATATAAATGTTAGTTTTTCTTAAGATGAATTGCTTCATTAAGGACATTCCTATTTTAGATTGTTACATTGCTGGTACAATTCCAGAGACCTCTGATGGTCACTCTTGTTTTAGATTAGGCAATTGTTGGTACGATTCCAGGGATCTCTGTTGGCCACTTCTTTTCTAAATCGTCACATTATTGTTACGATTTCAGAGACTTCTGTTGGCTACTCTTGTTTTAAGTTGTCACATTATTGTTACGATTCCAGAGACCTTTGTTGGCTACTCTTGTTTTAAGTTGTCACATTATTGTTAGGGCCCGGCATGGCCAGGTGGTTAGGGCGCTCGACTCGCAATCTGAGGGTCGCGGGTTCGAATCCCCGTCCCACCAAACATGCTCGCCCTTTCAGCCGTGGGGGCGTTATAATGTGACGGTCAATCCCAACTATTCGTTGGTAAAAGAGTAGCC